TCAATGTAACAAGACAGAAAGCCCAGAGATAAACCCACGTACCTATGGTCAACTAATTTATGACAAAGGAGGCAAGGATGTATAATGGAGAAAAGACAGCCTCTTCAATAAGTGGTGCTGGGAAAACTGAACAGCTACATGTAAAAGAATGAAATTAGAACACTCCCTAACACCATACACAAAAATAAACTCAAAATGGATTAGAGACCTAAATGTAAGACCGGACACTATAAAACTCTTAGAGGAAAACACAGGAAGAACACTCTTTGACATAAATCACAGCAAGATCTTTTTTGATCCACCTCCTAGAGTAATGGAAATAAAAAGAAAAATAAACAAATGAGACCTAATGAAACTTAAAAGCTTTTGCACAGCAAAGGAAACCATAAACAAGACAAAAAGACAACCCTCAGAATGGGAGAAAATATTTGCAAACGAATCAACAGACAAAGGATTAATCTCCAAAATATATAAACAGCTCATACAGCTCAATATTAAAAAAAACAAACAACCCAATGCAAAAATGGGCAGAAGACCTAAATAGACATTTCTCCAAAGAAGACATACAGATGGCCAAGAAGCACATGAAAAGCTGCTCAACATCACTAATTATTAGAGAAATGCAAATCAAAACTACAATGAGGTATCACCTCACACCAGTTAGAATGGGCATCATCAGAAAATCTACAAACAATAAATGCTGGAGAGGGTGTGGAGAAAAGAGAACCCTCTTGCACTGTTGGTGGGAATGTAAATTGATACAGCCACTATAGAGAACAGTATGGAGGTTTCCTAGAAAACTAAAAATAGAATTAGCATAAGATCCAGCAATCCCACTACTGGGCATATACCCAGAGAAAACCATAATTCAAAAAGACACATGCACCCCAACGTTCATTGCAGCACTATTTACAATAGCCAGGTCGTGGAAGCAACCTAAATGCCCATCAACAGATGAATGGATAAAGAAGATGTGGTACATATATACAATGGAATATTACTCAGCCATAAAAAGGAACGAAATTGGGTCATTTGTGGAGACATGGATGGATCTGGAGACTGTCATACAGACTGAAGTTAGTCAGAAAGAGAAAAACAAATATTGTACATTAATGCATATATGTGGAACCTAGAAAAATGGTACAGATGAACCGGTTTGCAGGGCAGAAGTTGAGACACAGATGTAGAGAACAAATGTATGGACACCAAGGGGGGAAAGCGGTGGGGGCGCGGGGGTGGTGGTGTGATGAATTGGGCGATTGGGATTGACATGTATACACTGATGTGTATAAAATGGATGACTAATAAGAACCTGCTGTATAAAAAAATAAATAAAATAAAATTCAAAAAACATAAAAGTAAATAAATAAATTCACAAGGCAGATCAAAAGACTATAATGGCCAAGACAACTTTGAAAAAGGAGTACAAAGTTGGAGGACTTTCACTACATGATTTCAAGACTCCTTATAAAGCTGTAATAACAAAGACAGTGAGGTATTGGCATAAAGATTGACAAATATACCAACAGAATAGAGAATTCAGAAATACACCCAACCCATGTTTGAGCAACTGTTTTCAACATAAGTGCAAAGGCAATGGGGGGAAAGGTTAGTATTCTCATCAAACATTTCTGAAGCTATCTGATATCTCACGTAAAACAAAGAAACAAGAGAAAGTGAATCCATACCTCACATTATATTAAAAAACTAACTCAAAACAAATCATAGACCTAGACTTAAAACTATAAACTTGGAGATGAAAACATAAGAGAACATCTTTGTGAACTTGGGTTAGGTAAAGATTCCTGATATATGACACCAAAAGCATGATCCATATAAGAACAAATCAATTAACTGATCCATCAGAATTTAGAACTTGCTCTTCAAAAGATACTGTTGAAAGGATGAAAAGACAAGGCACAAACTGGGAGAAAATATTTGCAGTTGGTATATCTGATGAATACTTGTGTTCAAAATATATAAAGAACTCTCAAAACTCAACAATAAAAATAACTCAATTTTTTAAATGGGTGAAAGATGTGAATAGACATTTCATCAAAGAATATATTTGGATGGCAAATAAGCACGTAAACAGATGCTCAACACCATTTTTAAAAAATAAATTTATTTATTTATTTTTGGCTGCATTGGGTCTCCGTTACTGTGTGTGGGCTTTCTCTAGTTGCAGCGAGCAGGGGTTACTCTTCGTTGCAGTGCGCGGGCTTCTCATTGTGGCGGCTTCTCTTGTTGCGGAGCACGGGCTCTAGGCATGCTGGCTTCAGTAGCTGTGCCACACAGGCTTCAGTAGTTGTGGTGCACAGGCTTAGTTGCTCCGCGGCATGTGGGATCTTCCCGGCCCAGGGCTCGAACCTGAGTCCCCTGCAGTGGCAGGCAGATTCTCAACCACTGCGCCACCAGGGAAGCCCAACATCATTAATAATTAGGAAAATACAAATTAAAACCAATGAGAAACCACCACACACCTGTCAGAATGGCTAAAATTTAAAAGCCTGACTGTTACCAAGAGTCGGCAAGGATGTGGAAGAACTAAAATGGTCATAGTTGCTGATGGGAATACAAAATGGCACAACCCACTTTGGAAAACGATTGGTACTTTCTTTAAAATTAAATGGACACCTACTATATGATCCAGACATTCTATTCCTATGCATTTACTCAAGAGAAATGAAAACATATGTTCACACAAAGACTTATACATGAACGTTCATATTATCTTTATTTGTAACAGCTAAACACTGGAATCAATCCAAATGTCCAGCAGCAATTGACGGTATAAGCAAACTGTGGTAAATACATTTAATGGAACACTCCTTAGTAATAAGAAAGAATGAATTATTTAAGAAACAATACGGATGAATCTCAAAACATGTTGAGTGAAAGAAGCCAGACCCCTCCCACCCCCAACACACGCAGAAAAGTATCTGCTGTATGATTCCGTTTATATAAAATTCTAGAAAGTGCAAACTAATCTTGACTGAAAACACATCCACGGTTGCCTGGCAGTGGAAGGTAGAGGGCAGGGAGGAGAGGGACAAAAGGATTATAAATGAACGTGAGGAAACATTGCGGGTGATGGATATGTCCATTATCTTCATTGTGATGATGGTTTTATGGGTTTTTATATATATATCAAAACATAGCAAGCTGCAAAGTTTAAATATCTGCAGTTTAACTGTACCTTAGTTAAAGCTGTTTTAAAAAAAAAATTATGAGACAAATAAGCTATCTGCATAGTCTCGAAATATCTCCCCATAAGATACTTAATGATTACAAAGGGAAAAGTAGTAACTTTATAGTCGAGAAATCTAGCAGATACTACCTTAACTAAGGGATCAATATTAACATCACCAGAATTAAGACATCTTGACATCATGTATCTCTCCTGATATGCTGCACTGAGAAGGTCACAGCATCACCTTTTGTGGTATTCTACCAAAAATGTGTAATCTGAATTTAATCATGAGAAAAATCAGACAGAACCAAGTTGAGTGACACTCTTAAGGAAATAACGGGTCAGTACTCTTCAAAAGAATCAAGGTCATGAAAGACAAAGGCAGACTGAGGAACTGTTACAGCTCAGAGGAGACCAAATAAGGAGAAATAAAAACTAAAGGCAATGAGGGAATATGGGGTGGATGCTGTACCAGAAAAAGGTCATTAGTAGGACAACAGGAAAAATGCAAACAAGGTTTAGTAAGACTATATCAATGTTAATTTCCCAGTTTCAGTAATTATACAAGATGTTAATATTAGGAGAAGCTAGATGAAGGGTGTATAACCTGCATATGAATATTCATGGCAGCTTTATTTATAATATCCTCAAACTGGAAATAACCCAGCTGCCCATCCATTGGTGAATGGATAAATAAGTTGGGGTATATTCATAATGGAACACTATCCAGCAATAAAAATACAAACTACTGACACAACAAACATGGATGGAGCTCAGAAACATAATTCTCAAAAAAAAAAAAAAAGACTCAAGAGAGTACATACTGTATGATTCCATTTATATGAATTTCTTGAACAGGCAGAACTAATCTATAATGAGAATGCAGATCAGCAGTTGCCTGGGCTGGGGGTTGTGAGGCATGATGGCAAAAAGGCTTCTGGGGATGATAGCAGTGCTCTTCTCACTTATCTGATTTTGAAGACACAGTTGGTATCTATCTCATTTAAGCTCAGTCTTGCAGAATACTTAAATAAAGAGTTGTAGAAATGGGACAGAAAGTTATTCCACGTAGCGACAGTGGCGTGAGCAAAACCACAGAAGTGGGAGATTGATATAGGGACCAGCCGATCGTTTTTTTTAATTAACTGTGCACATAATTTGCATACAACAAAATGCACCCGTTTCGAGTCGAAAATTCGAAGAATTTTAAGAAATGTATACAGTCCCATGTGACCATCATTCCATAGAGAGCTTCCTTTTCAAAACTACCACTTCAAGCTGTTTTTGTTTACTGTTTGGATATGGAATGAGTCATTTGAAAATTGATTCTGGAGCAAATTTAAAGCAGGACACTCAGAAGGTTTCCCCCTCAGTTTGTCAGACCTACTCAGTGGTCTTGCATGAGAGCCCAACCTCCCACGTTTCATGCCACGAGATGGCAGGCAGACCACACTTCTGGGATTCACCCAAACAGCCCCAGTCCACGTGTGGACTCCACACTCCGCTCCAGGTCTGACTCCCTGGCTCTGCAGACGCCCTGACCCCATGATCTAGCTCCTGACACCATCCTCAGGCCTGTCTCCTGGTGTCAGGACCCACTTCTTCAGTTTACCTGCCTGTCATCCTACCCGTTCAACTCTGCAAGCTGCCTTGATCGCGGCAACACCTGCTGTGTCCTGTTAAGGCACCCCCTACACCAGTCTCAGCTTCCTCGGGACCCCTTGCCCCAGCTCCCAGCACAAAGGACCCAGGACCAAGTTGCAACCATCACAGAATTCCAGGGTCATGGGGACGGAGTGCCACCTACCTGAGCCACAAAGAGCTGGAACTCGTCAGGCAGAATCCATGAGCGAGGGTAGAAGTTGTACTCCTCAGGAAAGAGATTCTGCATGATTCTTACTGCTCGGCTCAGAGTAATTTTACGCACCATCTCCGTCATGCCTGGGGAGAAGAGTTGTGAGGTTTTAACAACAGTGGGCCACTAGCAATAAAACAGCCATAATTGGGGACTTTTAAAACCACCCACCCGACATATTCACTTTTTCAGACAGGATTTTAAAAAAAGGTCTGAGTGGTTCCCCACAGCAGTGATTCATGGTTTGGAAAGACCTAGCAAATTAATGAAAAACTTGAGGGAATAGATGGATATTTTTTTCTCATAAAAATGAAGCATCGATTTAAAAGAATGAGTTTCCACCTAGTTTATTATTCCACTCTTTGTCAGCCCCCTAGATAACAAATAAAGAGAAGAATTTGTATCTTGCACTTAAAACTTAATATCCGCTCTAATTCTGGGCCACCATGCATACCTCTGGGACTCCTTCCATCTTGTACCCTGGAGAATATTAACTAGTGGACTCTGGTTACATTATGAGAAGCTTAATTACATTGCTTTGTTTTAATCTTTCATGAGTATTAAAGGTATAAAACAGAAAAATACACACCTTTCAGCAGAACATCTGTCTCCTTGAAATAAGGACACGAAGTGGAGAGGTTAGCACAGTGTAATTTATAGTTTAAGGGGAAAAAATGGAATCTGTAGGAGTTCTTCACTTATGAGTACTGAAACTGACATTGATCATATCTCATTAATTTGCCCAGAGGGGATGGAAATGTCTCACTTATGAAACATTTTAAAAGAATGGTAGTTTTTTTCCTTGTCACATCTTTAGAAATGCTGACAAGAAAAGAAACGGAGTATATATCTTAGCAAATTTTAGGCAAATAGGTAAAAATTATTTAAAATTTTAGCATGCTTATTTCTTAAGGCAAATATCACTGCTCAAAAAAATGGAGACTAAAAATGGCCTTCACCCTGAAAGGGGCTACACAGTTCCATCAATAACTAGCAATTTGCTAGCAAAGTCATTTTTAATAGAAAGTACAAAGTTCCAAGTCAGCTTGGCAGGTCCAAATTACTGCACTGCAAATGGGCAAAGTCAGAATGCATGAGGTTTCTCTAAACTACGTTCAGGAAGCAAAGGGTGAACATTGAGAATGAAGGCTTTTATAATCTACTTCTTGCTTCCCTCAGCATATTAAAAAGAGCAATAAAAATCTAAAAGATGGCAACTTCAAGATGTCAGTGCCTAGGTTGTTAGTTCTTGTTTAGAAGGAGACAGAGAAGGATTAAATAAGAAATAAAGGAGCTTTAAAGGCAGTAATAAACTGTGCTCTAACACGGCTTCTCTGATATTAGAGGAAACTCACTGAGGACACTTTTCTGAACTTCCCAAGAAATCAGTATGAGTCCAGAAAATTAGAGCTATTTCCTTTTATTCCCCCATGAGATTAGAATTTTTGAGTTACAAACACTGGAGCTGAACGCAAAGTACACGAAATTCCAACTTCTTTGGAAATGCTTTAGTTGTATCTCACATTTTAGTTATAGTATTAAACTAAAAACCTGCTTAACTGAGTGCAACACAGCGCCTTACAGCAAATACGTGATGCCCCCTGGCCAAACAGTGCTGTGGTATTGTCTGAGTTTTAATGGCAATGTGACAGGAGAAGGTTTGCTTTCAGAAATCCCTCGGCAGGTCAGAAGGACTCACATAACACACATAGGAGTGCTGTGAGTACAGGAGTGTGGTTCGAATGCTCCAGAGAAGCTCTGTGAAAACCAATGTCCAGCAAATGGAGTTTTCATTTTAAATCTGCAATGGCTCCTTTTGCCATGCGGGTCACCAGCCCCCATGCCGGCTAACAGATCTGTTTCTGAGTTTACATCTGCGTCTGTCTCCAGATAGTTCTCTACAAAAACCAGCCAACTTAAGAAGCATCCCTTCAAGCCACTGGCTACTTTTCCCACAGGCTGTAGACGGCTCACCCCGAACCCTGCCTCAATGCCTGTCTCTGGAAGGCAGCAGTGTCAACCTCCCTCAATCCACTTTCACTGACACCTTTGTTCCTCCGCCATCTTTAAGCTGCAGGGGAAAGCATCTCTGAGCCCTCACGAGCCCCCATGTGGTAGCTGCAAGCATCCCTGCCTCTGGCAGGGGCTCAGAGAGAGATGTGGGCTCTGTCTCTCTCAGTAAGATGCGGACAAGAGTAGCTGCTCCAGAGCATATGCTTCCAGAGTAAATCTGTAAAGAGGGAGGTCACTGTCAGGCCGTGGTGGCTCCAGACTCTGTCTGCCTTC